AGATCATCTGAGGTCAGGAGTTTGAGACCAGCCTGGTCAACGTGGTGGAAACTAAAAATACTAAAAATACAAAAATTAGCCAGGCGTGGTGCACATGCCTGTGGTTCCAGCTACTGGGGAGGCTGGAGGCCTGTAGTCCCAGCTACTCAGGAGGCTGAGGCAGGAAAACGGCGTGAACCCAGGAGGCGAAGCTTGCAGTGAGCCGAGATCGCGCCACTGCACTCCAGCCTGGTGACAGACTGAGACTCCGTCTCAATAATAATAATAACAAACAACAACAATAATACTTAATGCAGTGTAATTATAATAATAATGATACTTTCTCTTTTTCTGAGACGGAGTTTCGCTCTGTCGCCCAGACTGGAATGCAGTGGTGCAATCTCGGCTCATTGCAACCTCCGCCTCCCTGGTTCAAGCGATTCTGCTGCCCCAGCCTCCCAAGTAGCTGGGATTACACGCGCACGCCACCAGGCCCAGCTAATTTTTGTATTTTTTTTTTTATTAGAGACGGGGTTTCACCGTGTTAGCCAGGATGGTCTTGATCTGACCTCGTGATCGGCCCGCCTCGGCCTCCCAAAGTGCTGGGATTACAGGCGTAAGCCACCGCGCCCGGCCAAGAACATATTAATAATACTTTCCAAGTCTGAATTCAAATTTATAGAACGCGTGAAAGTGAAGGAATGATACGGAAAATCAGGCTTTTTGTGGTTTCTTCCTGAGAAGGCCACTCAGAACCAAAGACTTCTGTGAAATAAGGAAGCCGATTATCTTTATTTGTAGTTCTTATAGTTTATGCCTAAGAAACTCCGAAGAACAGGTACTGGTAACCTGGTAGCCCGGCGGTGGCCGCGGTTTGTTTATAGCCAAAACCTAGTTGAGGCGCCATGCCCTTGAGGCAAAACTGCTGAAGAGGGAAGCGCCCTGAAGATCAGTTTGTGGAGATCCAGGGTTGCCAGAAGAAAAGACAACCGTGAGTGCATGTGCGAGGATTCCTCGATGGAAGCGCAGCCCGGTGCGCCCCTCAGTTGGCCTGGCCAGGCCCTACGAGGGCCACGCGAAAACCGTGCGGCGGGATTCTTAGTGACCGCATTACGTGGACCTGCGGACAAGAAAGGCCTGGTCCGCGCTGCCCTCACAGGTAGGCGGTCTTCAATCACGTTTTAAAATCTTGTTGAGTGATTAAGCTATCATCTATAGTCCCGGCCCCTCCACTGCAGGTCGCTCAGGCCGCACCTGGTGCACTTTGGCAAACAAGCCCCGCGGCGGACTGGGGCAGGATTTAAGAAATGTTTAATAAAGACTGGGAGGCCTGGAGCAACGCTCTTTGGGATGCAGAAAAGGGTCGCGCGGCTCAGTGGCCTCTCCTCCGGCCCCCTGGCCCTGGCTCTAAGTTTCCTCTGCTCTGCAGGGCTCGGGGCACTCAGGGATGGAGGAGGCCACACCGCGCGGCTGGGTTCGCGGAATGGCGGTCCCTGCGGCCTCCAAAGGCCGGACCCCAGACCCCTCCCACTCCTTTCCTGCTCGACATCTCAATCCAGTTCCTAATATCTCAATAGGGTTTTTAAACAAATCGATCTTAAGGGCTCAGTTCAGCCCACCCAGGGATTCTGGGAGGATGCACGCCGAACTCAGGGTAGTGAGAAGAGAGTTTGGGGGGCCCTGGGGCACAGGGAGAAGACCCCACACTCTGCGGCCACCAGCTCCCTTCCGGAGACGGCGCTCGGACGTCGCTGGTCACAGGCAGGGAATTTAGCCCAGGTGCTCGTTGGGCCGCGAGCGGTCGCTGGGCCTGGTTCCCCAGGCTCGGTGTGCAGACTCCAACCTCGAGACGTCAGGACGGCGTGAGCTCCGGGCCGCCGCGCAAGCCCAGGACCCCGAGCCGCGGGCCCCCACGCTGCAGTGCGCCTCCCTCCTCGAGGCCCGGGGCTCCGACCCAACACAGGGCTTCTCAAATGCCCCGGCGAGATACAGGCAGCAAGAGGGAATCTTTTCTTTCTTTTCTTTCTTTTTTTTTTTTAAATGTGTAAGAATGTTTTGCTTCTTTTAGGGCACAGCACTGCTGCAACTTGCAGCACAGACGGCCCCTTCCCTGCGCACCCACAGCGGTCGCCGCCTCTCCAGCACGGTCTCCCGGATCTGGATTTGGGGAGCGCAAGTGCCCCCTGCGGCCGGCCCGCGCCTGACCCCGCGGGCCTGAGAAGGCAAAAGCGGCCGGTGCGGGGGCCCAGGAGGAAGTTGGAGCCCGGGGGCCGGGAAGGGGGCTGGTCGGCGCCGCTGGCTGGGCGGGGCCCCACGGGGCCGGGGCCACCCGGGGCTCGCGTTCCCCCACGTGGCCGGCAGCCCGGTACCCCACGTGGAAGGGGCGGAGGAGGATGAAGGACCAGGGAGCAGCGGACCCCGAGCCACCGCGACAGGACCCCGGCCCCTGCTACCGAGGCCCCCGCGCTTCCCCAGGGCCTCCCGGGCGGGGCTGGGCCAGGGAGTGCCCGCCGCGCCCGGCCCCTGGCCCTCCCGCCCGCCGCGCCTGTGTGCACTTTCGCGGAGCCACTAATCCCCCGAGAGAGCCGATTTGTAGTGAGGAGTATCTGGAGGGGGCGAGGCCGGCCCATGTGGGGTTGTGTCATTGGTTTGCAAAGAGAGACCCCGCCTTTGCCCCCCCCCAAAAAAAGGAGCGAGGAGTGAGCGAGCGGCGACCCTCACCTCGCCTCCCGCCTCGCTCCTGCGCAGCCGGCGGGCACCGGGAGCTGCGGCCAGCGCCGCTTCTTTCCTTTCCTTTTCTCTCCGTTTTCCTCCTCCTTCCCCGGAGGAGAAAACAAATAAAGAAGAGCAAATAGCCGGGAGGCGCTCGGCATCCAGGACGTTCCCTCCCCCGATCCAAGTTGGAATTAGCATCCTCTCGGGGGTGAGCGCGGCGCGGGGCGGGCGCGGGCCGGGGACCCCCAGCGCAGCCCCCTCTCGGCGGGCGGGAGGGCGCAGGGCCGGGACGCGGGGGGAATTGGGAACCGGGTGGGCGGAGGAAGGAGGAGGTGGAAGGGAAGGGAGGGGTAGGGTGGGGAGAGGAGGGGAACGGAGGGAGGGTGGGGAGGGAAGGAGGGGGAGGGGCGGGGAGCTGGAGAGATTAAGTTTTTGTGTGTGTGTCCCTGTGTGCGTGTGTCATTTTAAGGTGGCTCGGGAGCGGCCCGGAGGAGCCGGCGGCGGCCCGAGGAGCGAGGGACCGAACCGGGAGCCATGCCGCGCTGAGGGGGGGCCGCACAGCCGCCGCCCCGGGTGGAATGGGAGGGGTGGGAGCCGCCGCCGCCTCCAGGGCGCCTTTCGCTGTGGACGCCGACCGTCCGGGACGAGGTAAGGGGGGCCCCGGGGGAGGGCTGGGGCCGCCGCCGCCCCCGCCTCACCTGCGGCCGCGGGCTGGGGGCGCCGCGCCCGCGCCTCACTGCGCCACTCAGGGAGGAGGAGGAGGAAGAGGGCGAAGGACACGGAGCCGGCATCCGAGGACATCTTTGGTCCGTGCCCCCGGCCCCGCGTCCCCCCTCAGCGACCGGGGGTGGACGCTGGCTCAGGGGTCCCCGCCCGCCCCCGCCACCGATTGCGCCCGCTGGCCGCCGTTTGCGCCAGGATTTTTGTTGTTGTGATGAGAGTTGATGAATGCGAAGTAGGCGGTCACCTTCCTTCCCATCAGGGTTGGAAAAAAAAAAAAAAGAAAGAAACCCCGAGCGCGGCGGCGTCCAGAGGGCAGCGGCGGCGGCGGCGTCTCGGCGACGGTTCCCTGGTCGCCCCCGGCTCCTGCTCCCTGAGCCCGGTGGGTGCGCGCTCGGGGGCCGCCGGCGACCCAGGCCGAGCGCGCGACGCGCCGCGGGGACAATACGGCCGGATCTCCGGGGAACAGGAGTCCGAGCGCGCCGGGGTGCGGCGGGCCTTGCGCCTACGAGGCGGGGGGGGGGGGCGGCGCGGAGAAGAGGGGTTCCATGGGGAAGTCGGGGCGCGAGCGGCTCGCGGTCCCCAGGGGCGCTGCCCCTGCCGGCGGGGGATCCCGCGCGGCGCCCCGGGAGCGCAAGTGAAAGACGGGAAAGGAGGCGAAGTGGAACCCTTTTGTTTTGCCGGCCCCGCATTGTTGGCTCCTCCGGGCAGCCGGGCCACATCTGCTGCCGCTGCCGCCGCCGCCACTGCCGCGCGGGGCTCGGCCCGCCAAAGTCAGCGCGGCGGGGGCCTGGCGGGGGCCGGGCGGGCCGGGCATTTCCTCTGCCCGGCCGCGCTCCCGCGGGCACCACTTCCTCCTCGCCCGCCGCCGCCTGGAGCCCGGCCCGGCCGCCTCCCCCACCTTCCCCGCCCGGGCCGCACTTTTCGGGTGGGGCGAATCAAAAAGAAAAAGTTTAGCAGGAGGGGCCGGCTAGGGCGCGCCCCGGGCGGCGGGGATCCTGTGCGGCGCGGGGACAGCCGGGCCGCCGCGGTCCCTCCTCCTCCCAACCCTCCGCGGCGCCGGACGGCCCCGCGCGGCCGAGGGGAAGCGCCTTTCTTTCTCTCTCTCGCGCTGCCCCCAGCGCCCCGGGCGAGTTGGACAGAGGCGCGCGGGAGCCGGGGCGTGCCTGGGCCTTTCTCCGGCGGGAGGCCCAGCGGCGTGGCGGGTCGCCTGCAGCCCACGCCGCGCCCTGGGGCTCGGAGGCCGCGGGCCCAAGAGCTCGGCTCGGTCACCGCGGGCCGCGCTGAGACATACACGCGCGCACACACTCCCTCCCGTGGCTCGCTTTCCGCCGGCGACGACGGTCGCGGACACGGAGTGAGCGTGTGCGCGCGAGTGTTTGTGGTTGTCCCCCCTCCCCCCGCCCGGTACTTTTTCCGGAGGCGGCCCAAGCGGCAGTTGGCTGCAGAGGACCCCACGTTTAGGATTTTATAGGGAAGAGGAGGAATTTTTCGTAGAAATCCCCGCTCTGCGTGCTCGCGGTGGAGGCTGCTGGCAATGGCCTACGTCGTCACACCGGGCTTCCTTGCCCTGTCCGGGGTAAACAATCCTTCTGTGTATTTACCCCCTTTTTTCTTTAAAGATTGGAGATCGGGTTAAGTTCTTAGAGAGTCTGATGCGAGTGGCTGGAAGGATAGACAAGAGAATTCTATTCTATAAATATGCATTGGGAATTTAAAATGCTAAACGCCTTATTTGCAATTCTGTTGGATATTCTAGAGACTGGTATATTTTTATCTGACATGGATAATTTTGAGGGGACGTTATATTTTGGGGAAGTTTACAAAGTGATTCTTTCTGCCTTTCTAACTTGGGCGAAATATATCGACTCATACCACTCTTTCAAAAAAGATAGCTTTCTCTGCTAGGTGTTTGGATTCGAAGACAGTTTAAAAATTACCTCGTGTTCAGTACCTAAGATTGCTGTTTTGCCTCGAGGGTTTTCCAAGTAGAAGTGGGTAGTTTTCGTGTACTTTGAGAATTCTGAGGTTTTTAACCTCCCCCCCTTTTTTTTAAAATATAAATCTTTTCTATTTTGAAGTAATGAGACTTTAAAGGATCTTATTTTTATAATCACTTGATTTCAAAGGATACTTCTTACAGCAATTATAAAGTAATAGTCAAAATGCTAATTAAACATTTTCAGTCATAGCTGCTTTAATATTGAAACAGAATTTTTTTCTTTAGCAGAGACTGTATCATAGAGTTGAAACACTAAATATTCTTTTGTCTGGCATCAGATATCTGAACTGCTCTGACATTCTCCTGAAAAACCCCTAGTGCCCTTTTTATTGCCCCCAAAAGAAAAGTTAATGAGATGGTAGATTTCAAGCAAAAAAAGCAGGCCCTCTTTCTTGCAAAATATGCTTAGAGTTGCCATTGAAGTTGGATGTTAGCCGTGAATGCACTTGCCTTTAATGAAACCAGTTTAATCGTTCACACTTGATCAAGTATAACACGAGCAAACAAAGGAAATAAGCCAGCATATTTCTGTAGAGTGTAAGTGTTGATGTTGGGTCACCCCCTCCCCCTACCCTGCCCCCTGGTAAAAAGGAGAGAGGATTGAAGGCAAAGGGAATTTATGGCGCTGATTGGTTTTTTGTGCCCCAGGGGTAGGGGACCCCAGTTACATCCCTTTGGAAAGCAGTTATTAGAGGGAATTAAAAGATCTTGGGTTTGGAGCTTGTTTTGAACCTGACTAGGTGGTTTGGGTTTAATTCTTTTTCCTATTTAGAAAGATAAGGTAGAGTGCCCGAGTCCCACCACTCTTTTTTTTTTTTAACCCCAACTTGACAACCCCCTCTCTAATTGTACCTTAATAAGAGTCTGCAGGTTGAATGCAGAACCCTGTGAGTTATTTACGGTTTCTCCTGGGAGCTTTGAAACTGACCCTTGAATGGGTGTTCTCCTGCAGGGAGGAGCAGGGTGAATTACCTTTTCTTAACTGATTTTAAAAAGCCTTATTGTCCCTAAAAATCATTTCCTTGCATGAGTTGCAATTTATGTGTGGAACTGTATCATCAATTCAGTGAAGAGAGAGATACTCGTAAAGTATGTCTCTCTAAAGTTCAGAAAGTAAGAACGTTTGGCTACTTAAAAACAAACACTAGTGCCATTGTAAAAACACACCAGTGACATACTTGGTGAGATATTTTGGCCTTTTGAGACTCGGGGCACACCTGTTCCTGTCCCTGCCAAGTTATGTGTGCTTTCCCTGCCATTGTTAATCTGGTCGTGTACACAAGATGAAACAGTAAAACTTGCTATCTGTATAATTATTAACTAGTTTGTCAGTTACCCTTTCAGAGAATAATCAATAACTTTGCTCTTAACTTTTAAAATTCTGGATATTTTACTTTGTAAGTCTGGAAAGTGTTTCAAAGAGAGATTAAATGAAACAAACAAACAGCAACAACAAATGACAAAACCAGAAAATCAACCTGCAACTTTTTAGTTTCTGAGTAACTAACGACAAGGTAAAGAAATGATGACTGTATGTAGTATGTACTGAACAAGCAGTGCACTGGATTTTAAAATGATATTTTTATTGCTACCATTGCCGTTAAAATACAAACGACTCACACTATTTGAAATCCCTGAGATTCACGGATTGAAAGAAAACCGAAAAGGGGACACCTCTGAGGGAGCAGCCCTGCTGAGATCTAGCACCAGAATGCCATTTGCCAACAGTTCACTAACATCATGAATCATTTTTGAAAGCAAAGTTATACCCTTTGCACTTAACGCGTTCCCTCGATGGAAAAAATTTAAAGAGTTTACAGCAATGGTAGAATGGTGGCCCCAGTTGTCATTTTTTACCACTGTCATTTCCATAGAGAGGGGTTGTCGTCATAATGTATGTGTGTGCAGCCTGGGTCCCTCTGTTCATCTATCAGGGAAAAGCAGCAGCCCTAGTGTCCTGTGGCCCTGAATCAGGCCACAAATATGTATTCATACAGCTCATGGTGGGAAGGGACATTTATCAGTTGGGCAGGGCACAGCTCAGGTAATATTTCCACTTTGGGATGGTAGGTCTGTTACACAGGGCGGAACACATTTTTGTAGTAACTAAAAAATAGGAGGGCAGTTTGTCCCTGGAAAAAGAAGTATTTGTACTTAATGAAAGTGACCCATGTGGTGAAATCTCGGGGTGTCTTTTCCCCCAATAATCTTTCTGTGAATTGCTAAGTGAGGAATGCTTGTGTGAACTTTCCCTGCTGAAAACTTTTAGTGGGCACATGAAATGCTGGAATGAATACCTCTTAGAGACTGCGCCACCCGGGCAAATATCAGTTTTCTCCCTTACAGCTGGTAAGCATGTCCTAATTTACACTGCTGTGAGTTAAAGTTACAGCACTCCTGGAAAGAAGGGAAAATGCAAGGCGTCTCCTCCCCACCTCATCTTTTGAAGTTAATTTTCATTCAAGTCTGTGTTTGATGGAATATGTATCAAAGACTTATGAAAGGGTTTTTCTTTTTTAATCCTATCTCGGGGTTTGGAAAATTATATTTAATAATTGCTAAAAACTTCAGAACCATTTTAAAGGTGTTCAGTGGCTCTTTTGATCATGATTTAATGGAGAGTATCCAAAAGCCATCAATGTGACTCTAATGATATTCACAAATGAATGTTTGGGCATAATCTGGAGTTTGCTTTTAACTATCATTATTAATGTTTAAAGCCTAAATTATGGCTGCATTTGGGCATTCAGAACTTCGCCTGTGAAAAGAAGGGCTTTGCACATTGTGTAAAAAAAAAAAGGGGGGGGATTCACAAATGAATACAGAATGTACAATAGGGAGAGAGCCAGGCCATTGTTTGTGTGGAATGTTGACCATGGGAGCCAAGGGTTAGTTTCGCCTTCATTCTTCTGACTGCTGGAGAACACAGAAACTTCAGGAGCTGCGCACAGGATGGGAACCAGGGGCACATTCATCTGTCTTTGCCGGGCATGGAGATTTGGTCTGCCCCCTTTCCAGAGTTTTTCTTAGAAGGTGGTCTTTTCTGGACTGCTGAGGAACGTCGTGTGCTTTCTCTTCTCAGTAATCTGCTTTTCTGAGGAACGATTTTAACAGCAGATAGTAGAGTTCCTCAAGGAAAGTGTAAACAGACCTTTTCTACCCCCTCGAAATGTGATTTTAGGAAATGATATTCAACTTCAGAAAGGAGGCATCTTAAGTCACAGGAAGAAGTTGTGTTTATTTTTACTCCTCTCCTGACTTTAAAGTAGTCTTTAATCTGTTGGTAGCATTAGGGGGAACGCAGCTAAAATAAGTTTTTGCTGGATGTTCATGTTTTGTGTAGCTACTGCCGTTTGGGAAAAAGCTCCTCCCCCATTCACAAAGCCCTTCTCCTTCCACGTGGGAGCTGAGGTCCCAAAGTAGAACCAGCTCTATAGCTTAAGGGAGGTGCATTCCTGGCCCCTCACTTTTTAACCCTCACCTTAAGTGGAATATGTAGATAATATGGAGATCATTAACCATTGTTGGTGTCTGAAGCCTGTTCAGTTTTTTAGCAACTACACTCGGTGAGCACCAGTGGCAGTTTGCATGTATATGTGCCTAGTCCCTCCCTCAGTGAATGTTTCAGAGGTGCCCTGCTTTAGCTGTTTACCTAACTAAATGTAACAGATGGTTGCCTAGAGTTGGCTTAATATTCACAAAAATTGTGATGAAATCGTTGGGATCTTATGAATGGGACAAGTGATGATTTTGGTTCTGTAGAGAATTGTGACTTTTGTCCTAGGTAATAATAGAGGCTTCGTTTCTCCCAGAGATCGGTTGGGGTTTAAAGGATGGGAACCCTGAGTAGCTGCTGTTGTCTGCCCCGATCCTGGTGGTGACCAGCCTTGCCTTTGGTTTTTGTTGCCTTCTGTGAGTCCAGAAAAATCCTGGAGGCGGGGTGAGGGGGAGAGGGAGGGCTGGACTTTTCATCCGTGGGGTTCTAAAAATCCCTCTCACTTATAAAATACAAAAATATGTACCTTCCATTGTATTGCTGATTTGTGCTTCCTCCAAAGCTCTCCTCTGATCAGCAGAAATGTGCTTCTTGCATTAAAACAAATTCTTAATTATGACTAAAAGAAACTGTCAGCTGCCTTAAAGATTGTCTGGAAATAGTGGCAATATTTCTGTGTCTCATTCCAGCCCACGTTGTGGCAGAAGCCTGGAAGGGCCACGTTAAAGGATGTGTCACAGAGACAGTGTGTGTAGGTCTTCCTGCAGCACAAGCGAACTCAGGGCTTGTAAAGTCCAGCTTATCGTGGCTGTGCCCCAGCCATGCCTGAAATCTGGCCTCCAGCAGTCTGTCCAGGCCCAGGACAAACAAAAACTTCATTATGGAGTCACGGAATGTGAGGAAGTTTCTCTGGAAGGAACCGAAGACCTAGACCATGGAGGGAGATCAACTCCTCTGGCCTAATGGGGCTTTTCTTTTTCCAAGATGGAATTTTAAAATCTTACCTATAAAATTAGGCTAGCAAAGAATTATTTTATAGGTGCTAGTGGCCAGAGTCTAACCTGGAAATGATAGTGTTGTACCTGCCCCAGCTGTGTGTGTGGCAGGGGGAGGGTGGAGAGGGGAAATGAGAGATGAAGAGTTTGGAGGGGAAAACAGAGCATTCGAGGTTTGTCTGCTGGAGGGGGTGAAAGGCCAGGAGTTTGTGCACCTTTCCTTGTAAATGAACTCTAGCTGTGAGTTTATTATTTTGCTGATGGATGGTCTTTAGTGCAGTCTGGAAGTGCAAACAAAGTCGGCTTATCCGCTGCTTGTTCAGGTCCAGGGAGGCCAAGGGAAGGGGTGGGGGCGGTTCTTGCAAATGCATCTGGATCCTGGACACCCCACTTGGGGTTGCTGCAGCCAGCTCCCAGGCCTGCCCACCTGGAGTACAGCCAGAGCCAGCAGCGGGCAGGGCCCGAGAGAGCTCTTAAAGCCATGTCTCAGGAACGGTTGAGGGAACTGAGAATGTTCAGCCGTGAGTGGAGACGCCCCTGGGGAGCCCAACATTGTCCTCCGTGTGGTCATGTGGCCTTACTCCGCTCGGAACAGGGAGGCCTTGCTGTTGGAGCTGCCGGGCCAGATGGGCTGCGTGGGCTTCTGGCACAGGCAGGACTTGGCTGACCATTGGCTCCCAGTGACGGCCAAGGCGCCGCAAACACCAGAGACCCTGATGGAGACTCAGGCTTTGAAAGCACCTCCTAATGAGCTGGGGAGGATACTGTGTTTTCTTCCCAGTGGGAGTGACCAATAATCTTAAAAGTTTTTTCCCTTTCTCCAGACGTTCAGCTGTGGTCGGCACTCTGGATTGCTCTATCTGCCCTGCGGACTGGATAGAGCTGGAGACTCAGGGTAGATACCCAGCTGACCCGACATTTCCTACCCATATTCCCTGTTCCCTAGTGTTGCAGGAGCATGCAGAGACACCTGATTCTTGTATATCAGGGCTTTCGGATTACGGAATAGAAGTCACACTAGGAGGGCAATCAATAAAGAGTATATTTTGCTATACAGATACCAGTATGCACATATAAGTGCCTACAAGTAAAATCTGGAATGTTTTTGATCTTAAAAACATTTCACAGTCATTAATCTTCACGACGCTCCTGCGGGCTGGGTAAATAGAGCAATTCCTATTTTATGCCAGGAAGAAATATTGAATTGCCTCCCCCAAGTCATAAAGAGGCTGTTTTCCTCCTTGTTCCTGTGACTTGCGGTGTGGGGGGCCTGGGGCGCCGGGAACCCCTGCGATCAGCTCAGACTGACTCCAGGACGACTTCCGGTGTCCTGCGCGACCTTCTGCTGCGGGGAGGGCCAGCCCGACACACCTGGTCGCCTTCTACCTGGAGAGGGCGGGGTCTCCTGCATTTCCCGGACCGCGGGGGTGCCCCACCCTGCTGCGAGGACGGGCCTCCTGGCGTCCGGGCTTCCGGGGTCCCGGAGTTCCTGGCTCCCGAGCCCCAGGTGAAGCCCCCTCCATGCCTGGGGTCCGCCCCTCTCCTCCCGGCGGGTGGACCTGGAGGCTCCGCCCCCGCGGGCCCGAACACCTGGCGGCGCGGCCCCGCCCCAGCTGTGCCCCCTTCCCCCCGCAGGGCACCTGGCGGCCCCGCCCCGGCCCCTCCGCGGGTCGCGGTACCTGACACCCCCGGGCCCCCCCACCTCGCGCCTCGCCTTTTCACTTGTAAATAGAGCCGCTTCCCGCCGCGGGGAAGTCGTTGAGAGGTGTGAGAATGGGCCCTGCCCCCCGTGCCCACTTCCTCCTTCCTCCCGCTGGCCTTTGTGCTGAGCTGGCCCGCTTGGACCCCGGGCGGCGGGGGTCCAGCTAGACGCCGCCTCAAGCCAGCGGGGTCGCCGGCGCCTCTCCGGTCCGCGAGGCACCGGCAAGGGAGGAGCCTCGAGACCACGCGGGACACCAGGGTGGGCCCCCAGCCCGCACTCCAGGCTCAGAGCAGGGGCAGGGACCTGGTTGCAGCAGGTCAGAGCCGCCTCCACCCCGCAGCGGTCGCGGACTCCGGGCGCTCCAGACCTGGGGTCGTGGTGAGGTTCGTTGATTGACTGCGCGATGGTGGCTGAGTTGCAAGCAAACGGTAAACAGCGGCATCATTTCCACCAGACCGGCTTGGGATCTCGTCTCCTGGGCAGTGTTTGGGGGCGGCCACGGTTCTTGAATAACCTTCGAATCTGGGTGGTTTTCCTTGTAGTACGAATAGCGCAGTGGCAGTTGCTGTGGGAAACAGCGAGGGCCACTGAGACCTTCAGCAGAATTCCACGTCAAGGACGAGTGACATTTGCGCTCCTCTGCTGCGTTCTCTGCTGTTCACCCCGGCGGCTCTCGACACCTGAAGCCTGGCGAGGCTTCTGACTAGAGGTTGTCCGAGCGCTGAGTGGTAGGACGGTGCGGTCTGGCCCGTTCCGCCTTGCACCCATCTTCTCCATGGAGGAATTTCTGCGTTCGCCTCTATGTTTTGCAGACTTGATTTGGTGCTCCAGAAATTTATGCAGCCATTCAAGTGCGCTGTACCTGTTGTTCAAGTAACTAGAGAACAACCATTTCCTGAGCACTTACTTAGTGTCTGGCACCAGTTCGCTGGGCCATTGTGTGTTGTTGCGTTTCATTTTCACGAGGTGGGGTGATGTCTGAGGAGTCACTTGGGGGACTTGCCTGAGTGGGTTGGGCATGACTCCGTGGTGGGAGGAGGAACTCCTTCCTGCGTGGGGTGAGCCTCTTTCCTTGCCCACCCTGAAATTAAAAGTTCAGGGGAGGAGCCGTCCTGTTTTCCCCAGGAATCAAATGAGCTTCTCAGATAAAGGTATCTTTCTCTCAGGCCCCGACCTGTTTGATGAGTGATCATTTTGTTAGGAAGTCACGATCCAATGCCACGGAGGGGTTTCTAGATCATTTCCTGCGCTAGGACGTTTTCCATTCACTACACTTTTGGAGAGAATCTTCAGAACAGCGTGGCTCCTGTTGGGAAGCCTGAGGCAGGCCCCATTGAATACATGGGTCAGACTCTCTGGATCACAGACTCGCTGTGTCCAGGCAAAGGCCAGACACCTGCCTTGAGATCGGCTCTCCGGGGCCAAAGCACAGGGCTGTCCTGGCAGAGGCAGAGGTGGTAGTTAGTCACTGTTTTACCAATGAAGAATCAGAGCCAGGGAGCTTAGGTAATTAAGTCTAGCTAGTTACTACCAACTTCACCTGCCTCTGGCTTCTCTGTGGCTGCCGGAGGCTGCTTGTGGCCTTTGACTGGGACACGGGAAGTGTCTGGGGATGGCTTTGCCACGCTAACCAAGAGACCTCTTCTTTCCTCCCAAGCTCAGTTTCTCCCTTGCCTTCATCTGTGTGTCTGATGCAACATCACTTCCCCCCCCCCCCGCACTCCAAGAGCGCAAGGGCACACTCTCCGGGGGTTCTGTGTGGCTTTCACAGTGCTTAGGGCTTCATGTGGTAAAGTTGGATTTAGTGGCCAGGTAACATTTTATCAATAGATAAGATTATCAATAGGCAACACCATGTTTGTGGTCTGGGATAGCATGATCGCAGCTGCCCTCACCCCCCACCTCCCTCGAAGGAGGGCTTCAGTCCATGGGATGCACCCCTCCCCAACTCTGGTTGCCTCTGGCTTTCAACTGGAGCCATGTGCACACCTTAAATAGGATCTGGTTTGTGGGTTCCACCTTGGGGAGTTGGGGGTCAAGAGACAGGGAAGATGCTTAGGATTTCTCCTAGCTGGGAGTGTCTGTTTGCACCACTCCTGTGAAAAGCGGGGAGAAACTAGATTTTGCCAGGTGAACTTCCTTTGGGTCGCTCCCCTGCATTTGTGTGGTGTGAGCCTTAGAAAGGAATTTGAATTAATACTCCTGAACAAAGGGAACAGCCTTCTTTTCAAAGAGGCTATCAGAGAACTGAAAGGGAATGGCACAAAGTTGGGTGTGTCTTCAAATCCAGAGACCAGCCCTGCTTGGGTGAGCTTGGGTGATGAACTCACCGGAAGAGTACCCGGGGCAGGTGATGCGGGAGCTCCCAGGCTGACCTTGGCTTTCCGAAGAGGGTAAGGTCCCCATAAGGTGGAGGTTTTCCTGAAAAACAGGCTTTGCTTTATAAGATTACCTTCCTCCTCTACAACCCTTCTCTTCTTTTTGTGAACACGTGTGTGCTTGTGAGCACATGTGTGTTCTGGAAATCTCGGTCTTCACTGGGGCTCCAGTGGGGCCAGGGGTGGTGTCCCTCTGCCTCCATCTCGGCCTTGGGGTTCTGCTCTGTCTTGTGGATGACTCAAGGAAGTGCTGGGAGGAGTCTCTTGACAAATCAGTCATGTGAGGCTGGTGTCCTGGCTCAGCTCCGGCTTGGGTAGTGATTAGAGTCTGCCTATTTGAAGTCCTCCCTGCAGTCTTTAAACAGGTCTCCATTCCGCTTCACTCCACCTGGAAGAGGGTGGTGGGGCCAGGATCATCCCCCGGCCAGCCCTCTCCTCTCTTGTGTTGCCTCATTGGGACACTGAGAAGGGGGAAGCTGCTTTCTCAGAGGCTGTTGCTTGGCAAGTGGACATGGCGTCTAAGCATGAGAATGACTGCAGCGTGCAGGTACCCGTGAATGGTCATTTCCTGTGGGCCGGGCCTTGTGAGTGGTCTTCCAGAGCCCGTGTCGTGTCTGTGGTGTGTCCCCTGTCCTGTTCCAGGTTTCAGAGATCCTTTGCGCTGGGCAGAAGATCCACCGAGCTGGCATCCAGGTTCCTCCAGCAAAACACGGCACCGTGGTGGACCTGCCGCAGCTCTGAGGCCAGCGAGCCGGTTTTTCCCTCACCCTGTTTCGCAGCCCTGGCATCTGCAGAGTGTCCGTTCTCCTCGCTCCTCCACGGCGCGTGCTTTTCGCTCAGGGTTGAGGATTCTTTTTCCTCCACTTGCACACATCCTTCTCATTTCTCAACTAAGCCCAGGATTAAGAATGAGGCTTCAACTGACAAAAGCCAGGAGATTCACAATTGAAGTTGGAATTGTGTCTGTGGTGATGTCTTCCTCAGCGTTTAAGGAAGGCCTCGAAGAGTGGGTCCTTTTTTTCTATCCTAAATTGGCCACCTGGCTCCAAATAGTGGGCAAAGGAAGACGCCTCTGTGGTGAACTGGGGAGTGTCTTAGTTGAGGATCTCATGTCCGCAGAGGATGAAGGGAGGGGGGTTAGGACTCAACCCAGTTGTGCTTTTGGGTCCCTGGTTGTGTCCCAGCCAGGCCTGAGAGCTCAGAAGCAAGTCCCATATGTTACTTGACCCCTCAGAATAGTCCTTTAAAATATTTCTCGGCAAGGAAGCTTCTTGTAAAGGAGTTTTCTTCCCTAATTCTCTTTGTCTTCTAGAGCAGCAGGCAGGGCGGGAGGGGAGCCTGGGTTCGCTGTGGTTAGCGGGAAGAGGGCTGTAGCAGCACGTGGACCACCTTCGTGGTCACGCCTGTAGCTGGGAGTTTTGCAACCTGGTGGTTACTTGGCATGTCAGGGGCCTGGCTCAGATCCAAAGTTTTGCTCTAGGGGCCCTGGCAGTGCACTTTGAAAGTGCTGAGCTAACTGCTGTGCTCACTTTGGTGGCTGGTGACAAGAGAGGTCTCACTGGAAGGTCGTGAATGTCATTCTTCCTTTCAAACACTGAGGCTGTGTCCAAGGAGAGATGGGCCTGCCCTCCTAGAGCTTAGTAGAGGCAGTGAGATACAAGGGGGACAGACTGTTCAAGGAAGTGTGGCAAAGAAGGGATGGAAAGAAATGCTTGACTTCTCTCCCGCGCTAGGAAGCCTTTGCGAAGGGCTTCAGTTTCTGAATCTGTAAAATGAGGGTAAGGAGAGGGTGTGTTGTAAGGATTCAGTGAGGTAATGTTTATAAAGCCCTTAGAACGAGCCTGACATATCATATGTGTTTGTTAAAATTTTTTTTTTTTTTTTTTTTGAGATGGGAGTTTCACCGCGTTGCCCAAGCTTGAAGTGCAGTGGCACAATCACAGCTCACTGCGGCCTCGACCTCCCGGGTTCAAGCAATTTTCCCATCTCAGTCTCCCAAGTAGGTGGGACTACAGGTATATGGCGCCACACCTGGCTAGTTTTTGTATTTTTTGTAGGGATGGGGTTTGCCACGTTGCCCAAACTGGTCATGAACTCCTGAGCTCAAGCAATCCTCCCTCCTTGGCCTCCCAAAAGTGTTGGGATTACAGGTGTGAGCTGCCAAACCTGTCATGGTGCTATGTTAAAAATTCCTGGAAGATGTCATGCCCTGTGGTAGGGAAGGGGAGTGGCTGGTGGGGCTGGCTTAGTTTGGGAACAGCCGTCTTCTCATTGATTCCTGGGGTCCGAAGCAATGAACTGAAAACTGTTCACAAGGTTAATTTTAGTCTGTGGGCTGTTACTGCGTATTAGGTCACTCCAAGAAATGCCCAGTAAAATGTTTACTTTCTATTTAAGACCTACTTTCTCTTCCTGGAGAAGGAAGAA